CATTGGCGAGCAAAGCAAACTCAGAAAAGCCTGAGCTATGCAGGCACTTTGTCTCTAAATACAAACTCCCCACATTGAATAGAGAAATTAGTTCCTTCAAAATATTAGTATTCATTCACCACTTGATAGACAAAAGCTACAAATTCTTGCAAAAAACTTTCTGCAACCATTATGTTATCCAGAATTTACTCGAAACGAAGTCATTTAGAATGTTTTTAGAGCATAAACAGTAGTGTATAGGATTTCCTGAAAGCGCGCGCCTGCGAGCTCGCGACGCTACGGAAACCGCGGCAGATCAAACCAGACGAAAGTGCGCATTCAGCTCGGCAAAGAACTCATGCTCTTCCTCAACACTGAAGTCCTCAGACATTTTTCTTTCGTTGTTTCTTTCTTTGCACAGGTAAACAGCACATTTCTTCTTCTACGCTTGCATTATCGGCAGAGCAGACGCTGAATGCGCACTTTCATCTGTGTATTTACAGTCAAATTTAATCAATTAGAGCAGAGGTCTTCAAAATTTTTCAGACTAAGGACTCCCAAACTGATGGCGAAATGGAAAGGGGACCTCCTAATTATATATATTGTATGAAATAGTGTTCTATCAAACTGGTCCTATAGTCACTCTATTACAGATGGAGTAATGTAACTAAAGTAATTCCTCCCTGGGATTATTAAAGTATTTCTGATTCTGATTCCTGGTTGATGGGACAGGTGTTGTGAATGAAACGGTGCCCAGCTCGAAAGAGATCCTGTGTGTCGCTGAATGTGTGCATTGATGACTGAAAGACATCTTCTGCCTCCATTTATCTGTTTACTTCAGTGTGTTGAATTCATGTTAATGTGGATTTAAAGACATTTTAATTAGTGGAAAAAATGCAGGGGGGGAATATAAAAAAAAAGTCTAATCAACCAAAACATTCGCCACCCCCATGCAGTACCTCCATGGACCCCCTAGGGATTGCGGACCCCCTGTTGAAGACCTCTGCTGTAATATATATATATATATATATATATATATACATATATACCGTATTTTCACGACTATAAGGCGCACTTAAACGTCTTTTTTTTCCCTCAAAATGTGCGGTGCGCCCTATGGTGCGGTGCGCCTTATGTGTGTTGTAACTGTGACTTTTGAGACCACCTCATTGAGGAGATGATGAAAGAGTGGCTGAATGTAAGGAGACCAGGTGTTTTTTTTTCCACTCATCACCATCGCTGTTAATATGTAACTCCATGCGTGCCCATCTCACAGCTGATGTGAAAAACATGGGGAAACAAATTAAGGCTGTGCTCGCTGTTCAACCTCTGGACATCGGTGTGAACCGGACCCAGCAGGTGCAGCAGAAGCAGCGAGTTTACATGCAAAGTCAATGGTTGACGCGCGTATAGGCGCAGCAAAAGGTCCCGCAGCGCGTTTTGAGCTGCAGGTGCAGCACGTCGGGAGCGTTTAAGCATCTGACGCACCGCCAACGCGCTGCTGCTGCTCGAGATGGAAAAATTTAAGTTTTGCTGCTGGACGCGCCGCATCAACCAATCAGAGAAGCTGATCTGGGAGCTGACAGCGAGACAGACACAGCGCTCTGATGACATGATATTAACGCAAATGAAAAAGGCTGGATGGATGAGAAGATGATGAAAGGCAGGTGTATGTGAGGAGACCAGGTGCTTTTTTCCACGCATCACCATCGCTGCGTGCCCATCTCACAGCCGATGTGAAAAAAAGGTGAATCAAATGAACGCTGTGCTCGCTGTTATCCCGGGGGTCTGACAAAGGAACTTCCACCGCTCGACATCGGTGTGAAGCGGCCGTTCAAAGTAAGGCTGCGAGCGGCGTGGGAGCGATGGATGACAGACGGAGACCACAGTTTCAGGATAAGTGGAAGGTAGCGCCGGGCAAGTTACGCCACCGTTTGCGGATGGATTGTTGATGCTTGGACTAAAGTGTCTGCTGGCTCTGTTGTTCAAGCTTTCGCAAAAACAGGCATTATTTCTGAGGAGCCGCGCTGCACGGAAAGTGACTCTGACAGCGAAGAATGGGAAACTGGCAAGTCTGATTTAGCGCAGCTGTTTAATTCAGAAACAGAGGATGATGACTTTGATGGGTTTGATTAATACTTTGTAATAAATACATGAATAAAGCACAAACATACTCAGTTTTGCTCCCGCTCTATTTTTCTACCTGAAAACTTAATTCAACAGCAGCCTCTGGGCGGGTCTCCTCCTCTTCACCGCGGTGGCTGGCAGGTGTTTTTTCATCTAAATAATCTAAATCTTGCAGCTATATTTGCTGTGATCAGGGGGAATAAAGTAGTTTTAATATGTTTTTAAGTGAGAAAGGCCACCTGAAAACTTAATTGCAGTCAGTTCATCCAGATTATCTATTTCTGTCGGAGGCGCTCAGACCCCCACATACCAGCGGTGCACCGACAGCAGAAATCCCTTCAACAGCAGCCTCACACGGCGGCTGGCAGGTGTTTTTCATCTAAATAATTTAAACTGCAGGCACCAGGATACCGGTAATAAAAGCGAACATATTCCGTCGGCAGGTTTCAGGATTTTAAGTCAATTTAGGAGTGATCACAGCGCTGTCATCTGCGATGTGTCTGTCTCATGGCCAGCTCCCAGGTTTGATTAATACTTTGTAATAAATACATGAATAAAGCACAGTCATACTCAGTTTTGGGCCCGCTGTATTTTTAAAATACGCAGTAGAGGTATTTAAAGGTAGTAGAGGACATGTACCTGTATATAAAAAATGCGCCCTATAGTCCGGTGCGCCTTATGTGTGTGTTAAATACAGAAATGGGACACATAACTGAGACTGCGCCTTTTAGTACGGTGCACCTTATGGTCGTGAAAATACGGTATATATATATATATATATATATCTATATATATATATATATATATATAGATATATATAGATAGATATATATATAGATATAGAGAGAGAGAGAGAGAGAGATCCTAACTTTTCTGTATACTCTATATAGTTTTCATATTTCTTTATTTTATAGCCTCTTACAATTATTTTCTATTTATATATACAATTCATTGTCAATACATACATTATCTCTGTATCTCTATTTACATGTATGTAAATAAATGTTTATATCCTGTATAGCACTTCTGGATAGATGCATACTACATTTTATTGCTTTGTACTTGTGACAGCATAATGATAATAAAGCTGAATTCTACTCTATTCTATAGTCCAGTAAATACGGTATTTACAGAATCATCAATTAGTATGAGCTCCTAAGAGCTGAGGCTACATTAACCTTAAAAATATTTATGGTCTGTTATTTTATTAACATATCAGTTTAACAAAAAAGGTATGTTGGAAATGTCCTCTCTAGATTTTGCTCTCTTTTTTTATGTTGGTGATTTATAATCACCATGAAAGGAGCTCCCCTGATTATACAGTCACGCTGCAAGCTTTTATAGAATGGTTAGAACTGTAAAAATCTGAAGCAGTATTGCTTTTTTTTAACATAAGAAGTTCTGCTAGGAGTTCAGTCTGTATTCATGTACCAAGCAGCATCAAAGCTCATATGTGATTAGCCTATTTTGTGCCTAATGTGTTCGGTGATTACCTCATTATTTGCTGCTGCTGTGTGTTTTTATTAAACCTCTGTGGCGGGTCGTTCCCTTTTGATTCAAATTTTTTTTTTTCGTTCCCTCTCTCAGAAGCTGCCTATCTGACTTACCGACTCGCTCAGAGGGACTTGGAGTCAATCTAATGAGGCTCTTGTCTGTGAGCGAATGGACATGGGAGCCCGGGCTTTAGATTGCCTCCCTGACTCTGTGTTTTTGAGCTGATGAGTGAGAGACCGCAGGCTTTAGGCGAGCCGTCTGCCTTCAGAGAGCCGCTTTGGTGGCTTGGATTGTCTAAGAGTTGTCAGTTAGAGCTTAATCAGGCAACCTGTCTGTCCGGTTCCACCTGCTTTGTGATGAAAAGGCTTGTCTCAACTGCTGTTTATTTAACCCCTGGCAATACAGAGCTGTCGGTTTAAATGTCATTAATGTCTGAACCAGTTCACGGGTTCATACATCGAATTACCGGCCGATATTCTCCCGAGCAGGAAAGCAATTAACAAAACCTCCTGCCCTGACAGGGACGCTGCCGTACACGGCATTGAATTGAACCGAAGCGCATCGAGCCGGCTCCTCTGGGCTACGAAAGCCAGGTGTTATTGAAAAACATGATACTACCAATGAGGGTTTGCCAATGGTGAAGGGTAACCAGGCAACCAGGTGAGAAGATGAGGTCATTAAGGGATTTTTCTTCAGTGAAAAACTCTCAGCTGAGTGTTTGTTGGTGGTTTTATCAATGCGGGCGGTTTTTCTTTGCTCTGTTTAGCCCTTGCAGACTCCATATATAGTACGGAGATGAGTGTGTGTGTGTGTGTGTGTGTGTTTGTACACACCCACTTTGTCTAGAAACTCCTCTCTCTCTCTCTCTAACCCAAACTCTCAGGTAAAGGGTGTTTCTCATTACGTCACCCATGCTGCAGTGGCAGTGAGTGGTGCGGAAGCAGCTGTCGTCACTTCAGACGGCTTTTCACCATCAGCGTGAACAGAGGGTTTTCTCTACACAGCTGGAATCAGTCGTTGCTGGAGCTGAAGGGAGTTTTTGGAGTTTCTATAAGTGGATCCTCTGAAGGAAGGCCTCCAGCTGTTGAGGAATGTGTTTGTAATGCGGCACTCTGAGCTACGGGGAAACTCAGGTGCGAAGGAGGGGTCCGTTTGTTTTCCTGAGCGCAGGTGGTGTGTATCCTGTGTCCAGGTGTCTGCTGCGCTTCACGGAGGACGACTGTTGCGGATAGATGTTGCTTTCAGTCGTTCATAAAGGATGGAAACGGAAAACTAAAAGCTTTGTCTAACGGTGAAACGATCTGTTCTCCTATTTCTACTCACCACTTGTACTTCTCTGTTTTCTGCCAACCCTGCTTCCTCCTCTTCCTCCTCCTCCTTTTGTCTATCTACCTCTGCAGGGGAGTCGAGCCATGAGCTGGGGCCCCCTCCTTCGGTGGATGAGGCAGCCAACACATTGATGACGCGGCTGGGTTTCCTTCTGGGAGACAAAGTGAGCGAGGGGCCAGCTGGTACTCAGTACAGCATGGAGGAACCCGAGGCCAGACAGGTAGGTTCTTCCTCTTCTGCATCCAATTTATGCGATTTATTTCCTTTTTTAGTTTGATTTCTTTAAGGATATTTTTTTTTTGCACTCTATTATCTTAGATGCAGTTCAATAAATTAGCAGTTAAAGTCAGATGATAATGTGATTCTTTTTTTTTCTGTTACACGGACAATAATTCTTTATATAGACATGTTGTGTTTTTGGCCTAAAATTTGTGGGAAAAGGTGCTAAAGTGACAGTTTTTTAGTACAACAGAACATCTCTGACACAGAGAAATAGCCACTTAATTCTAATGAAGGTGGCTGTTCATAGAGATCTCTAGACAAGCATAGAAGTGGAAGGTTGAGTGGAAGGAAAAAGTGTAAAAATAGCAGCAGCATTGATGTGAGGATCGTTGACCTAAACTGGTTCAAAGATATAAAAATAATACCCTTCCTGTTATCCTTGCAAGTTTGAACACATTCTCTCCTCACTTATGACCCTGATTAAAACGCTCAGAAATTATAGCGAATTTCACACAGCTGTGATCCTTTAGGGCAGCGGTCCCCAACCTTTTTTGCACCACAGACCGGTTATATGTCAGACAATATTTTCACGGACCGGCCTTTAAAGTGTGGGAGATAAATACGATCAAATAAGATAAAACGACTAACATAAAATCAAATACAAACAGCATAAAAATAAAACTCACAATTTTGTTGAATTAGAGGGAGCCCTGAGCTCGTTTCTCCGAAAAAAACGGTCCCATCGAGGCATAATCGGAGACAATGACACACGAAGTGTGCTCCTAATGTCCTAATGAATGGTCGCTGTAACTGCAGAAAATCCCGCTTCACAAAAATAGGATGTTATAGATAGGATGCGTCTTGACCTGAATTAACCTGTGTCAAGAGGCACAGATGCACCGACTGATGTAATTGGGAGATAATACCCCAATGTCTTATATTTTTCAAAATAAAACATCACTCAGACTCTGATCGTCGATAAATTATAAATATATATTTTTTTCTGTGCGGCCCGGTACCAAATGACCCACGGACTAGTACCGGTCCGCGGCCCGGTGGTTGGGGACCGCTGCTTAAGGGGAGTCCCACACTGCTCCCCGGGCGCTGCACAATGGCAGCCCACTGCTCCGCAAGGGGATGGGTTAAATGCAGAGAGTGAATTTCGTTGCTTTGTACTTTTTACAGTTTAATGGCAATAAAGTTTAATTCTATTCTATTAAAAATTTTAGCGAGGGAGGAAACTGATAATGGAAGCCCACAGAAATCCAGTATGAATAGAGCAATATACATGGTGGTAACATAAGGCAGCAGGGCCTCTGTTAGACAAGACCATAGCAGCACTGTTACTGCTGTAAGGTAGAGGTCTATAAACCGATCACCATATACATCATAGCCATCATGCAAGATGACACTCTCTGGATATAAGATGTCTCTGGATTAGAGACTGACACAGGAGTGGATTTTCACTCCTGTCCCGTCCCACTCCCACAGAAAAAAAAGGGTGTCCCGTCCCGATCCCGGGCCAGAGTAGAAATCTAAATCCTGTCCCGTCCCACTCCTGGTGAAATTACTCCCACTCCCATCCCGCTCCCATTCAGAATGACTCCCGCTCCTGCACCACTCTCATTCTTGTTGTTTTTGAGCGCGGGTGAAAAACTCAGAGCGAAAGTTACTATTGGTTTGCTCCCGCTCCCGTCTGCTCCCGTTAATGTTTAATCCTGTACCATCCCAATCCCGTGATCGTTACTAATACTGACTCCCATCCCACGGGAATCCCGTGACCCGTGGGATTCCCGAAAAAATGTCAGTCTCTACTCTGGATACTGTAGCTGCTTCTTTTTCTTGACCAAAGAGATCTCAAAATAAAGCCGCGGGAATTAGTGTTTTCCCTGTATACTGGGCCACAGTCACATTAAAAATCAATATTCACGAGGGCCCCTGCAGGCTAGGATCACACACGCTTCCAAATTGCACCTAGCCTTAGTAGTGCTATGCTTTTTCTTGGGATATGAAGGGAAGTTGTGGGTTTTCAGGCTGCAGCTTCAATGGAAAGTTCCTTTGAGGCTCTTCATCATGAAAATAACTCTGACAGGTTTCCTCTCAAACCTGCTTGGACATTTCAGCTTAAACTATCCAAGGTCGTTGGAGGAGACTTAGGAGGATTCTTTCTCTCTATTTTGGCGTTCTTTTGTGCAGAAAAAAAAATTTGCGAGACTTGGCACAGAAATACATCTCAACAGTTCTATTTTAGTTGGATGAAATATGCATTTTGATGTTGAACAGTTCAGGATGAAACATGCAGCTCTGACTTGTTTGTGGCTTCTTTGATAGAGGTAGACAGTTGTTTTTTAAATTTGTTTGATTATTTTATATATAAATATATATATATATATATTTCAACCAAAGGCTGAGCTGTTGGCATGCTGATGTTAAAACTTCTATTTGAGCTGCAGATGCAACATTTGCTACAAATATTTTTTAAGTCTATGAATCGACTCATTTACTTGCATCTTTCATATTTATAAATATATATATATATATATATATATATATATATATATATATATATATATATATATATATATATATTACTATATAAGTTTCAGCAATTCAATAAAATATCTGTAGACTGTGCCAGTCCATCTTATGAGAAAACATTTTAGTTTCTTTATTCTGTTTTATTTCACACATGACGCACAGTTTCTGCTGCTATTTTGGAGCACAGTTAACGTTTTCCAAAATCAGAAGAATGTCAGAGATGTTACCAGAGACGGTAACAACGTTAAACTTTTGTGTTTTTCTATCAGTTGCATCTGTTTAGTAAAGTTCCTTTATCTTACATCTCAAGCACTTAACCTCCGATTCACATTCGTCCAAATACTTTGGTATGTATGCGTGGTGTTTTGATGAACAAAGAAGACAAGCTGAGTTGTTAGCTCTGCAGAAATAGAATCTCCTCCTAAACGTGAAATGTGTTTTATGGTAATGTTGACCTGATGTCTTTATCTATTCTGTCCCAGTTTCTCATTTAAGGTGTTTTTTCGTTGCAATGCTACATTTGATACTCCTAGTTTGCTGTGAGAGGGATATTGTCTTGAACTATTACCTTACCAAAGACTTGCTTTAGATGAATTACTTTCTATTTTCACAAGTCATATCTAAAAGGCGTGTATTGCATCTATTTGATTTGCTTGCTTTTGTACAGGAAATGGGGAAGCTTACAGACGTCTTATACATTCAATCTGTTTTGGCGTTCATTTTCCTCTGATTCTTATACATCTTTGGCTATCAGCACAGACACATTTCATAGAAGGGAAAAGTCAAACACACTCATCACTGACTGTACTGCCATTTTATTTTAGCGTTTTGATTATGCTTTAAACCTTATTTTGTGTTGTTCAGTAAACATTAAAAGGTTTTAAAGACAGGGCTTGGTGGAAAAATCTGTTTTATTATTTAGTTTATGTAATAAACGCAGGCTAAAAAATTAGGCATTTAGTCTTAGATATAAAATAAATCTGCTTGATATTCCATGAAATATTCTTTAGAAAGTTGCAAAGAGACCAAATACTTCTTGTAACGCTCAACAATATTGTAGTTTCATTCTGTCTGAAATTCAGTTCAACTTACAAAGACAATTCAACCAGATCGTACAATCAGATTGGTTCGAAGTTTTCTATCTAAGAAAAACCAGCTGATTGCATCGACTCATTGACTTTTCAGCAATCCATCACACTGAGCATGCTTGTTGCGACAGTGGAGAGGAAAAACTCCCTTTTAACAGGAAGAAACCTCCAGCAGAACCAGGCTCAGTGTGAGCGGCCATCTGCTGAGGCCGACTGGGGTTCAAGGAGACAAAAACACACAGCCAGGCAGACGAGCTCTGAGCCAGCTCCCATGTCAGTGGATAAAAGAGAGCACTAGGGGTGTAAATCACACCCATCATGGCTATTTGATTCAGTATCAATTTCCTGACCCAACAATTCGATTATTTTCGATACTCAAGAATACATCACGAAATACTTCCACACAAATGACTTGAAACCGCAAGGGGTGTGTAAGTCATCTTTTTCCTCCACCATGCCTGTCTTGGCTACTGTTTACGCGAGTGTGTGTGTGTGCTAGCGGAAAGATGGTAGTGGCTAAAGGAAGCGAGGTAGGAGGGCAAAGTAGGTTTAGCACCACCGCAGGACAGGAGTCAGAATTACATCCAGGAGTAAATGGATACAAATAGACTGGAGGAAAGAAAAAATGATCTTCGGCTGTAAGATCGATGCATCGATACAAAACGATTATTATTTACACCCCTAGAGAGCACATACAGTTAGTCACAGTCAGAGAAACAGGACTACACTGAAAAACAGGCATCAGTGGAAAAACAAAAAATGAAAGGGATCATCTAAGATTGTCGGTGTTCATGGGCTGAATCTAGATTTTAGTGGAGTGGATTGAACCATTCCATATGTTTGATGTTATACTGGTTTCTTTAATTAAAAATCAATTTTAGTGAAAGGAAATTTGTTATATAAGAACCAGCAAGTTAAGCTTGGCATAAAATTAAAACATTTGAATCACAATGCTAATGCTAATGTAAACAGTGACGAGTCCATCGTCAACATTAACTCACATTATGTCAGAAAAGAAAAAAACTCCCGCTCCAAAATCCAAAACTTCAGGCATGTGGGAAATTTGTTGCCAATTGCTTTTTTAAAGAAAATGTTTATGATCCTCCAAGACAAATATTGACTCATTCGGACACAACTGGATGGACCCAAGTTCAGAACAATAAAGGCCTAAATATCTCTGAGAATTCAAAGCAGAGAGTTGAGGGTTTAAAGGCATTGGGGACATATTTTGGAGCCATTTCTAACCAACTGTAAACTACTCAATCACACCGTCCCAGAATGCAATCTATTAAGTGTTTGCAGAGGAACACAAAGACCAACACAGACACCCCCAAATGAAAGGCTGAACTTTGGGGGAAGTTTTAATTAACAA